CCAGAGAAAGCAAATGACTTTATATCTAAATGGCGATGTTCCCATAGTGGAATTCAATGTGCCCTTCTCTTACACTCTTGAATTCAACAAATGTTCAATGCTTAACACTTTCAGGCTGCTAGACATGAGTGAAGGGTCATTACAGTTTAACAGAAATAATCTTCAAAGAAAATTTAGAAATGCATCCAGGACCCCACCGAGACCGGTAACTCATTGGCAGTGGGGATGTATCGCTACACATTCTTCCAAAGAAGCAGTGAATGGTTACCCCCAAGGAACAGTAGATTTCAAGACATGAATAGTAGACAAATTACAAAGTAATTGTACTTAATAAACAGTAAAGTTCCTCTCTCTTGGCCTCCTTTAAAATTGGGGGGGTGAAGGGTGGGCAGACTCCCAGCGTGGGCACACATTCTCTGCAATGTCTCCTGCTGTCCCATAGTTGGATTGTGTGACTTTTCTTTAATTTTTTTTTTTAAATTTCAGATTGAAATGTGGGTACACATGTTTAAGTTACATTGTTTTCATTTTCTAAGGTAAATACATTCAAGTTGGAGCTGAGCCCTTCACTCCATGACTTTTTGTTCAATGTTTGTTCTCACCTAATGACCATCTGTATTCCTGACGTGAGCTAGAATACAGGAAAAATTGCCATACACACAAAAAGGATCACGATATTGCATGGTGTGTATCTAGAGTAACAAGATATGCCAAGTAAATGAGAATAGAAATGAAAAAAAGTAGAGGAAGTACAACTTGTGAAATGTGATTGGGACGCAAGGAGAGAAGCTTCCAGGACAGTGAAAAAATCTGGTTTCAAATTTCTAATGTTTTTGAAATAAAGTATTTTTTGAGAAGAGATAGTTTTCTTATCAATAGACCAGAAATTTCAGGTTAATATAAATTTTCATTAAAAAAAAATTGTCAGGGTCTACTGGCAACTTAATATAAAAAAATCTGGGTTCTAGGTAGTTATTAACAAAATAGGAAATATGCTGGTCTTTGCAAAGACTGATGCTCAGCTTTGCATGAGCTTAGCTCTGCATAGTATTAAAGTCATTTGTCCCAACCTAACTGCCAAAGGAAAAAATAAATAAAAAATAAAGTGAACCCTTTCAGGGAGAGAAAACATTACACACAGTCCCAAAGCGCTTATAAACAATGTCCAGCATTTGGTGAAAAAATTTCCCAGCGTCCAAGGATATTAATCAAATGAATTAAAAATCTAGAGAAAAAAAAGTAAACAGATGACGGAGATAGACCCAGAGGAAATCTAGATTCTGGGATTATTAACCACAAAATTTAAATAAATTATTATTAATATATTCAAGGAAGCAGATGATAAGATGGTTAATTTTTGTCAGATAATTATAACTGGGTAAAAGAAACAATGCCTGTGCTCAACCTGGAAAGTGCATTAACATGAACATTTGGCAACTGAGATAATTTTTTTTTCAAAAAGGTATCTTTCCTTTTGTACTATGGCTGCATCTTAACTATATTTTTGAAATTAGCTAAAATAAACAGCTGCATAATTATTACTACCTCTTATTGGGGCCTATCACATGATCAGAACATCAAATCTTTGGTTGAATAATAGAGAACTATATAACCTCAGGAAAAATAATGTCTATATATTAAAAGGAATATGTGTCTCTGCTGTTTCTCTTACTAATATGGCTACAGACAACAACAAGATCTTGAAGAGACATCGAGTACTCTGCATAAATCATGTTCACTTTGATTTTAAGCGGCAACAGTACTTCCTTATTTCAATCCCACTACATGTAAGATTGTTATGAGGAGTATTTAAATTTCAGATTAATACCAGGGTATAAACCACTAGGGTACAATGTTTGCATTTGTTAGGTAAGGCCCCTGTTGTAGTTGTGCCCTTCACCTAGGAGGTGTGCCATAGACCCTTGGATTACACCCATTAGGTGAGAACACACCAATCCCTCTCCCTCCTCCTCTTTTTCTTCCCCCCAGCTTAAATTAACTGAATTTTTCTCTTCTGTGGGCATGTATAAGTTTTTCTACTGGCTTCCTATTAGTATTGAATACACTGTATACTTGCTTTTCCATTCTTGTGATAACTTTACTACTAAAGAGGATGTTCTCCAACTCCACCTAGGTGAATACAAAAGATGTCTTTTTTATAGCTGAATAGTATTCCATGGTGCATATATACCACAGTTTGTTGACCCATTCATGGGTTGATGGGCACTTGGGTTGATGCCACATCTTGGTGACTTGTCAACTGAGCTGCAATAAACAATCTAGAATAAATGTCCTTATGATAAAATGATTTCTTTCTCTTCTGGGTAGATACCTAGTCATGGGATTGCAGGATCGAATGGAAGGTCTACTTTGAGCTCTTTGGGGATTCTCCATACTTCCTTCCAAAGAGGCTGTATTAGTTTGCAATCCCAGCCACAGTATAAAAGTGCTCCTTCCTCTCTATATCCGTACCAGCATCTGCAGCTTGGGGACTTTGTGATGCGAGCTCTTCCAACTTGTAATTTTCTAATTTATCAATCATTCTTCAACTAATTTGCACTGTGACAAATTATGCTGTTTGAAAAATGTCTATAATAGGAGCATGAAAGGATCAGTGATCATAGTCAGTTGGTACACTGAGTTCCTAAGAGAAACATACTTAAATCCTGGCAAAAATCCTATCAGGACAATGAAAATAAAATTTGCTTTAATACATGTACTTAATCCATTATTAATTTTAATCTATAACTCAATTGTAATTATAATTTACATTTTTAACACGAGTGGTCTTAGATTACTGGGTTCGTGTAAGTCAGAAATTTTCTTCTCGCTCACACGGAACATAATAGAAAAACACAAAGCTGGCATTAGAAGGAACTTATTGCTGAAAGAATTACATTTATCATGTATGATCTAATTCCATAATTAAGCCACAAGCATTTATAGAACACTTTGTATGTGCCAATGCCTTTATGCAATGCTTCGGATATTAAGGATCTAAGAGACGGTTGAAGGATTGAGCACTATAAGGCACATGAAAGCACTTTGTAAAGGATAACACGTTATGCAAACTACTATTTTATACCATCACGTGACTGTAAATGTTTTTCTATAAGCAGAAGTTGTTTCTAGTTCTTATTCCCAATGAACAGAGACTCTTGATTTTGACTAATTTTCCAAATAGCCATTTGCCTCCGCAAAATAAAGCAGAAATAAGAAAGAAAAAAGATGTAGTCGAGGAAAGAAGGAATTGCTTTCTAACCAGGATAACGAAATAACAGAAAAGGCAAATAATAAAGTCAAAATGACTACTCTGAATTCTGAGTGCAGAGAGAAAACGTTCCATAGGACAACAGTCGAGGGTATCAAGCAATCTTTAAAATCGTCTATCTGCTTGTTATCTCCCAAGACAAAGTGGGAAAACTGTAATGGAACATATTTCTTTCAGAAGAATGAAAAAAAAAAAAAAGAAAAAAAAAACATTAAAAAAACTGCCAACCCAGAATAAAAGGAAAGAATCAACTGTTACTTTGTAATGTGAGATATCCTTTGAGAACAGTGTAAAGATGATAATTTTGATAACAAAGTCTTGGGGAAGAGAGAGAGAGAGAGACCACAATATGAACATGAACTTACATTTGGACAAAGTCTACAGTTGGTGAGATGGAAGGCGCTAGACTTACTGACCCTGCATCATTCCAGAAACTTCGCCACTGTTGGCTGAAACTGTTCCAAAGCCTGGCCGTGCAGTTCCAGCAATACACGAGATTACAATGAAAACTAGAAGTGAACGAATCCTTTTGAGAAATATTCCCTTAGCTTCTGGGGAGTGTGCTATGAGAGTATCGTGTGCTATGGTATCAAAACAGAGCTCTGGATGAAGAAACACAGAGCATGATTGTCTCCACGTAAGTGAAAAATTCCACAGGGGAAAACTTGTTAAAGGAATAGTAATATCTGACACGGTTATGGGATTTAAGTTGGCCTGGTCGATGGAACTATCAACTATCCCTGTCTTTATGGAATATATGGGTTTCAGACTGCTTGACCAAAGTGAATCATTTCTTATTAACATCTCTTTTGTAGTCAGGGATTCATTACTCAAGAAAAAAATGAGTCCCCCAGTTGAAAAGAGGATACTGAGACTGTAGTATTATAAATACCCATTAACCCATGGGTTAATAATGCCCATTATTAATTCACCCTGCCTACATTTCTTTCCTAACTAGTGACTGCCTGAAACGTTACATCTGTACTTCTTGGAACTTTTATCCTATAGTCATTGTCTAATAGACCTTAATTGTATTGTCAAAAGAGTTTGAAATCAAACATGGTATTATTCTAGTATAAATGTTCTGTAAATGTCAAGGCCATAATTTAGTAGATTTTCACTCTTTGTGAATCTGTTAAAACGAAACAAACATAAGTTTAAATCCCCTTGTTCTGTCACTCAGGTCTATAATTCATCTTTCCTTTCGGCTTTCAACAAACACTAGCCAAAGCAACGTTTATTGCTCAGCTGTCCTGGATCTCTTAAAGGTTTGGGTTGTTGAGCCACACAGGTTTCACAACTACTGATGCTTTTAAAATCAGAACCAAACAATGTCATAGAAATCAACAAGGCTAAAACCAAACAACAAAAAAAATGTAAACATTGAGCTCGAGATGAGGAACCCATCCAAATTTTAAATACATTTTTCTGAGAAACACTTCATAATACCATTAGACTATAATTACTCAATAATTTTAGTTAATTCATAAAACTAATGAAATTCACAGATCCGAATGGCAATGATAATAGAATACGAAACGAAACAAAATCCAAAGGACTAATAATCAATGAATCCAGAAAATTAAAGCAAATTGAAATTGTTTTTTAAGCAAAAGAAACCAAGAAGCAAGAAAACGATTCCAGATTCATGGCTGCAAAAGAACACTCTGAAGATTGGTAGCAGCGGGCGGGGTGAAAGTAGAAGGAAAATCGCCAACGTCTCACTTACTTCTTTGTATCCAAAGATGATGCGTCCGTCCATGAGGAGGGTTGCCTGGAACGTGAAGCTTCCCAAGTTGTAATTATCCTGGAGATGTACATGGTCCCACTGGACAACAAGGGCTGTGCCTATATACACCATCGGAAAAGGGAGAAATGCAATGATAAAAACATGGCAGTCAATTCTGGTGGGAGCCCTCACAAAAGCCGAAATCTGGCCTTCAATCCATTCATTGTACTATTTCAAGTTTATGGGGTTAATTAGAATTCTGCTTTTGAAATAGCATCAGAGATGTATTAAATGGGATTGAGTACTCTCTAAATATTTGGTAAACTCTAACTTCATGCTGAGGTTAATACTGAGGCAACCCGGTGGGAGGGAGTTTTGCCTTAGGAATGCCATTAATGCTAATGGACACTGTCTTCTTAAATTTCCCCGAAGAGCAGCCCAAGGGGATTTAAGTGAACTTCAAACACATTTAACAAATGCTGAGAGAGAAAGGAACACATTCAAAAAAGCTAGAGCCACTTAAAAATGACTTGAAAAATTTTCCACTCAGAATTATTCTGTTTCCGCAGGAAGTTCCTTTAACACTAATGGGAATTTTTTGCTTTGATTCAAAATGCTTGCATTTCTGTCTGTGTTGTATTCCTTCTAGGAGGTGGAAAGCAGCTTAAATCTTAGCCCTGGGCTAAGATTTCTGAAGTCCCCTTAAAGTATACTGGGATGAAACTCCAGGGCTATATATTATATTCTGATGACTTACTCAGCCAATGTTTATCATTAACTAGTAATATGCAATAAAAACTGAACCATAGTTTAATAGTTACCCCTGACAATCCATATTTTTGTTCGAACTGACATGCATATTTGCTTTTGTTTTTTAAAAAAGAAAACATAGGAACAGATAAAAAATTGTTTAGCTCTAAATATTGGATTTTCCTTTAACAAAAATCTTGTTACCAGAAAAAGTTGTGTTGGAAATGAAACCTACAGAACTAAAAGAGCCAAATTTATCTCCTGGCATTAAATAGTCATTAAAAAAAGAAATCACAATTGTAGAGCAGAATTAATTTTCATCAACTATTTGGTGCTATTGATACTACCATATCACTTGAGCTAGTTGTCAACTTTAAATAAAGGTGTTATTTCAAACAGTTTGAATACCCAATTGTAAATCCTTAAAGAATGTTAGCGTATAGAAGTGTATTTTTTTTTAAGGTAAAACTTTAGAAGTAAAAAATAAAAAAATCTTTTTGAACTTGACTTTGGTCCATTTAGCCAGAAGGAATACACCACACCTATCTCTGCTATGGGTGAAGGCCCACCCAGGACTCTTCCTGCCATGGCCATCTCTGTGTCTGTAATATCATTTTTTTTTAATTGAAAAAGCTAAGAAGTCAATAGAAAACTTCCCAGAATTTTACAAGCGTAGGGGTTTTCTGATCATGAAATGCCAAGTTCTTTCTCCTCCTTTCTCTATCACACCCTGGTAGTGCAGGGAAAACAATGAACTAGAAGGTTCCAAACAATGAGCTAAACTTTATAAGCACCTTCTTTATGTGACCTGGGCCATGATTAACCTGGATGCACCTGTTTCCTCCTATCTTACAACCTAGGAGGTATATTTCTTGCTTGTAAGAGATTTCTGCATTAAATACAAGAAAATGCAGTTGATTCAAATGCTTAATGAAAAAGGTCTACATAATTACATGTCTTTAAGGAAAATTCTGATGAGGATGTTCATAATATACTGTTAATATATGTTAAAATAATAGTGAGTGTGGACATGTTAAGTTTTATATTTTATATTTGGTAGTGGCATAGCTTTCCCCACATTTCTTATTTTAAATTTTCTACCCTGCTGTTGTCTTCCCGAGAGAAATTGGCTTTCCTAAAATGTTGAGTTTCCAATCCTTAAGCATTCTCTCAATGATCCTAACCAATCAAACTTAAAAATATTTCAGCAAGTTGCTAAGGTATAAAAAGGAGTTTGTGAAGAGTGTTACAGGACTTAAAAGTGCTTAATTCATTTAATAAAACACAAGCAATTATTCAGCTTTCATTACACTGTAAGAACTCTGTACTCCTCAATATGACATTCCCCTGTAGTGGGTTATGGCACAGAAGGTATTTCCATAGCTAACACATTAATTCTAGAGTGTTAATACTTTCACAATTCTCAGAATTAAAAAATGAATCTGACATACTTGTGTCATTTACACACTCATTGAATAACTATTAGGGAATTCAACGGAGTCAATGGATTCTTTAGTAACAGGTACTTATTAACTACTGTGACGGGTCTTGGAGATTAAATGCCTTCTGATAAATAGCTACAATCTTTGTTTTCAAATAACTCAGAGTTTTATTGGAATGGTATACAATAATATTTAAAAATCATGCACATATAAGTAAAACTCAAATATGAAAAGTGACATAGGAACCAGGTGTGTAAGCGTCTAGCAAGAGAGCCTATTTAATCTGCTTTATAATTTAGATGCTAACAATATAAAAACTTGGTCATTTCTTAGTCAACTTTCAGTCAGTCATTTTGTATTTACTTAGGGCAGATACTTAAGGCAACTCTCTATGGGAGATCATGGAATAAGCTTCCAGATAAGTTTCAGGATCAAGTATACTGTACTTACAATCTACTTGTACATACTTTAGTGTTAGACCTTGTTTAAGTTTTAAAAAGTTGGGAGGATAGATTATAACAGCCCTTAAAACAGGAGAGAGAAATAATTATTAAGGCTAACATTTAGATTTACTTAATGTTTGCTCATATTCTGATGTGATTCTATTGTTTAAACTATTATTTCCCCAGGTGATTATATATGTTCTATTTCTGTCTGTTTTTGCTTTCTCCAACTGTTAAATGACTTTATCGCACTAGTCAGAAGATTGCTTTTAGCAAAATAATCATCTTTCCCCAAGGTTACGGCCACCTAGGCGCCTACTGCACCTGCCAATAAATCTCTTCTTGGTCATCAGAAATAAGATTAGAAATCACTTTGTTCACCCCAAATTGTTCCATTATTTTCAGGTATAAAGTTATCATTGGAATCAATCAATACTATTTTTGTATTATATTTTTAAATTAATTTTTCCAGGGCAAATCTTGTTACCTATAGTTTCTTTTCTCCAAAGTTATAACTTTCAATACGTTATAGGGTTGAAAATTAATCTGTGTGTCCAGGACCTTGAATTTTTTGCTAGAATTTTAACAGTGTTTAATGGTGTAGTCTAGGTTTTCTCTATTAATTATGTTCTCCAAAAAAAAAAAAAAACAAAACTAGTAGGGACAGATTGCTGTCAGCACACTTGATAAATCTTAAACAGCTGGTACTGTATATTTTAATGTCAGGAAAACTTTATTTTCTTCTATCTATTTTAGCTACTCATTAATTTATACTTCTAAAAAAAGTGTGATCCTGTTAAGAATACATATGGGTTCATAAGATTTGGAAATTTAATGTCAACATATTAAGGCACTTGACACCATTGAAAGACCAGAATTAACAGAAATATTCTTATTTAAATGTTTTAAATTAAAAAGCTAGAAAATTGACTCACTGAAGGCAGCATCAAGTACATATATTTGCTTTTCCTGAGGTGTTATCTCCAACAACTCATAATATATAATGGATGTTAATAAACACCTGCTGGATGATTGACATTTGACCATGAACTTCACATCTTAACAGGTAACATGATAACATTAGTCATCTCAGAGGATTTGCATCAAGCAGTTTACAACTCCAGTACACCAAGAAAAGTTCACAAAAACATTAACATATCTTATGTTGATATTCATACATATACATTCAGCCAAAAACAGGCTAATCAATACATACCATTATCAAAGTATCTGACGGTTGAATTTCTGGATACACTGGGATCGAAATTTGCCATTAAAGGTGCTATGTACTGTGTTGCTGTGAGCATTCGATGTACAACTTCTCCTGTGTATATGAAACCTGTGATACAAAAAATAAGAAGTTAAAAAAGAGAGGCCTAGATAAAATTAGAATTAAAATAACTCCAGTTCAACTACCATCATATTTTGGAAATAAAATGTCATGGTACATTAAAAAAAAAAAGTGTAATTAATGTCTTAATGTCTAACAATCCTTGGTCTAAATTAAGTAACAAATTCTCATATAATTTCACAGTACTTAAGACTGGTAAGTCAGAAATCTGTAAGATGTACAATTCTAATTGTGGGAGAAATAACCATTATCTGGAAATAACTATTATCTTGAAGAGATTATTAGGTTGAAAAATGCTAATATAGTAGTCTAAGTAATTCAGATATTCAATTTCCCATGATTAATCCCTTGTTATTTTAACACTAGCTTAAGGTGCAAGTCTTTTTTATGAGTTCATTCATTTTCATCGTCTTTATTTTCATTTTCTGAAACTGCAGTCTCACAAACGATATTTTAGAAACCACACATGCTAAAATAAAGAAAAATGCTTTCATTTTTTTTTTTTTTCCTGAAAGTTGAAAGGGAAGAATAATACCCGTGGCACAGTTTTCCCGTTCTCAGATGGCTCAACCTTTTATAACACTAGCAGGCTATCAAGCATTCAAAGTCTATATGTTTGCAGATAAGATGGTAAAACATTGATTGTGAACAAATGCCTCCCTGTTTAGAGAGTTATCAGGGCCAGCCTATTCGAACCGTTGGATAATGAGAGGGAATTTACTGTAGAGGTCTTTGGCTTTGAATTAACTTTCAATAGCTCCTAAGTTGCAACTCTAACCCACTTTCAATTATTCACACTAGGTTTATTGACTTTGTCGATTATCCATGACAAATTGTTAATCCCTTACTGGCTTCTTGCCTACCAAGGTCCTTAGTTGCTTGAAAGGAGAGAGTTAGCTCAGCGAATGCTAATTTTAATATTAATCTAAAAAATACACAATTAAGAATAAATACACAAATGCACATGTATGATGTTACCCAGTAAAACCGCCAAATGAAATGCAAAATAAATTATTTATGACAATGCCATTGCAATCATTGGCTAGTCAGGAGCTAACTATGTATCTGAGGCTACTGTAGATCATTTTTCTATTTTCACGACAATTAAACAGGTGAGAACAAAGATAAAATTCTTTCTGCAAATGTCCTAGGGTTGAAGCAAAAAATAAATAATAAAGAAGAAAAAGGAAAAGAAAAATTAAGACTAAAATAAATAAATAAAATCCTGCTAGTATTATATAGCATTTAAACCTCAAAAAGTGTTAAGCTCTGTTATCTTACCTTATAGTCTGAATAAACATTCCACTGGTATGTTGTACTTTTTACTACTTCAAAATCTAAATTATGATGTCTAGGTAAGTAATTGAGGAATTTAATCTGTAGTTATTTACTTTGAGATTAATTTCTTTCCTTTGGGTAATATCTACTTTCCTTGGACTACCTTTTAATTTTTCATCAAAGGTGTAATTGAACGCTAGCTATTTATCTTAAGAAGTATATTTTTAACTAGTTTAATGTTCAAGATGGATGTTTTGGGGGTTTTGTTATTGTTTTGAGGCATGGCCTCTTTTTGGCATTGGTGCTAGAGTGCAGTGGTGTCATCATAGCTCCTCACACTCCTAGGCTTTCTCCTGCTCCAGCCCACAGAGTAATACCTGGGACTGCAGGTGCATGCTACCAGGCCTGCATTATTCTTTTTCTTTCTTTCTTTCTTTCTTTTTTTTTTTTCATTCTTAAGCACTAAGAGGGCTCACAATGATGCCAAGGATGATCTTGAACTCCTGGCCTCGGGCAATGTTTTTGCCTCAGTCTCCCAAGGTGCTGGCATTACAGGCATGAGCCACCATGCTCCACCTTCAACATGTACTAAGACTGTCAGAAATATACCATATGCAATATGAAAACTAGAGACATACATGGATGGATACTTTCATTGGAAGTATGGAGTACTTCCAATATGGAAGGTCCATATTTTTACCTTCATTATCTGTTTCTCACTTGCCAAGCACTATCCTTCAAAATAAATCCTGGAGGTCTTAAGTAGAACTTTGTATATTTGCAATTTCACATAGCTCAAGTTTACTAAAAGATACGGTGATACACTCCTTGCTTTCATTATATTTCCCTCTAGATTTTTAGAGTCATACTCTTCATGTGCAAAATACAATTACACATCCTTAAAATTATAAATATGCAGAGTGAGACTATTTTTCAGAGCCTCTGATTTCTTTCTTCCTATCCTAACCAGCATTCTTTTATAATGTCATCGTTCAAATGGATACGAAAATTCCATAGACGTGATCTTGTTAAGGAAAACATCTGCATTCTGCTCTGAAAGCTCTCGGTAGTCATTTCTCTATTCTCCGTTCCCCTGTGTACTGATAGAAGAAACTATTTAACTTGGGGTATTGAAAGCAGTAATTTAAGGCAAGAAGATCATTAGTAAAATATCTCAAGAATGAAAGAAAAAATATCTCATGTACTCAGTACTATTATGAAACCAATTTACAATCACTCACACTTTCACATGAAGAATAGATCACAACTATGGCCCAGGGTGAAGGAGGGAAGAAGGAGGGGTGGGAGGAGAGTGGGGAGGTCAGATGGAGGGAGGGTGAATGGTGGGATCACACCTATGGTGTATAATGCAAGGGTACATGCCAGAGCTATTAGTACAGAGGATAAATGTCTTAACACAGTAACTAAGCAAACGAGATGACGTACATATTAACCAGTATGATATAAGCATTCCTAATTCTATATGAAGTCAGCACATTGTACCCCATAAATGCATTAATGTAAACATGGTATGTGTTTATGATTTAATAAATAAATAAATACAAAATCCATTCCTGACAATTCTGTAAGAAAAGCATCAGGGATGCCTAGAAATTCATTATTGTAAAATGCAGAACCATTAACAATCTCATACACTTAATTCTTGCTGTCAGTATTTAAATAAATAAGATATTCATGGTATGTACTTTCCCCTTGATATCTGTACATAGATTTATTGAGAAATTAAACTTTACTCTTGATAGTCCAATTTTCAGAACTGATAACTACTGCTTCCTTTGAGCAGGAAAAAGGTTTTTTAGATCCACAAGGTCTTAATTTTCAAAGGTGAGATTTCAAATTGTTTCCATAAGATAAGTAGAAATATGAAAGAATTTGCTAACATGTAAAAACCACAGTTATAGTTCATTTTTCTATGGTTGTAACATTAGAGTGAATAATATTTACTGTTACTCTGAGTATGACAGTTGCTTTATCTACTATTAACAAGAAACAGCTAGAACAATCATAACACTCACATGTCGGGCACGACTATCACTCTTACCACTGTTAGCACCACCACAACCACGGATTAATATGAAAAATAACCTAAGGAGGAAAAAAATAACTTTGCTGCAAAATGAGTTAAATTTTGGTAACTGAGGGAGTAATTGTTTTTCTCAACCGTATTGAAAATTAATTCATATCAATGTCTCAGGTTAGTTCTTAATGATCAAAAGTAAGAAGCTTGACTAAGCAGTGGGATCTATTTACTTCTTAAATTTCTTCATTTGAAAATTACCATTTTAGCAGGGGGAAATAATTAAGTGGAAAGAAACTTTACAAGCTCTCTGAGATCAGGGAAATGTAATTAGGTATTATGTAAGAACCAGCTATGCAAATCAATGTAACAAAAATCCTTCAAAGCTTCAGAGGAACTCACAGCTACCAACACCTCATTGAGACATTTCTGTCCTTTCTTTAACTGTTCTGGGCATGCCTGCTCATAGAGAAAAAAATATATCATTTTTTGTCTAGTTGTTCACATTTTGGGGATAATTTAAGCAATATATTTTAACTATTTTCTTTCAACTTAGTAGGCATTTGAAAGGCTAATCATAAAGTATATCCTTTGCTGACTATGTGCTTTTAGTATAAATAGAAGTTATCCGTTCATCTGTTTCTGTAGCAAAAAGGTCATTATTGGCCCACTAACCCAGGAATGGATTAACAAGCTGTTGTATATGTACACCATGGAATACTATACAGCCTTTAAAAAGATGGAGATGTTACATCTTTTATATTAACCTGGATGCAGGTGGAACAAATTCTTCTTAGTAAAGGATCACAAGAATGGAGAAGCAAGAATCTCATGTACTCAATTTTGATATGAGGACAATTAATGACTTAATATACTATGGGGACATGGGGGAAGGGAGAGCAGAGAGAAGGAAGAAGGGAGGAGGAGTGGAATGTCACCATGTGTGACACATCTTTTGGGGGTGGGACACAATTACAAGAGGGACTTTACCTAACAAATGTAATTAATATAACCTGGTTCTTTGTACCCTCAATGAATCCCCAACAATAAAAGAAGAGTGGTTATTATCCAGACAATTTGGGACTCAGATACCTTTATAAGAGAATCAAGTAAGAGAAACAAACGAATTTCTTTGAGTCTCAAATACTAGCTAACACACCGCCCTTCCCTTCTGCCTTCACTGACACTGGTAAATCTAGAGTTGACTTGTGAACTCAGAAGTGATCAACTGATTTTGCTCTTGAACCTTGGAAAATGTCCTTGGACGACTTTCTGTAAGTGGTCTCTAGTCCCTTGAATAATCCAGTTTTACATAAGCCTCAAAGTCATTTGGGGATTCTATCATTGTTGGTCCTGTCACAAAGAAATCACACCTCGTCATTCTATTAACCACAATTATCATTAACCAGAAATATTATTGTGATCAGAATGATATTAACCAGTATCTATAAAGGCCTTTACTAACTACATTATTTTTATGTATCCCCTTGACAGTATCCTCACGATAATTCTAAAAAGAATGGTGTTATTGTCTTTATTTCTTCTCATTAAATGAAGTATTTGACCAGGCTGGGTAACGTGCCCAAGGTCTTGCGAATGCACAGTTTATGGGCTCTTCCCAGTAGATTTCAGAATTGATTATGTGTCCGGCCTTATGTTAGGCACCGTGGAG